GTTGCTGTAAGGGCAGCATAAGGCCAGAACTTTAGTGGCAATCCACTCTGAAATAAGATACCCCTTGCCACCTCCAAAATCTGCTTGTGTTTTCTCTCCACAACACCATTTTGTTGTGGTGTGTAGCTGCAAGTTCTTTCACCATGGCAATAAACCTCTTCAGATACCCCACTGTCTCCCCTTTATTTTCCATCAGAAATAGCCACACCCCTCTACTAAAATCATCTACTATAGTAAGGAAGTATGGAGTGTTGGTCAGAGAATTTTCCTTGCATGGTCCCCAGATATCAAGATGCAGCATCTCAAAGGTTTTTTTAGTCTGAATGGAACTGTTTGGAAAGGCTAGTCTGTGCTGTTTTGATCTGAAGCAAATATCACACTTCTTTAGCTGTTGTTCATCTGCACTAGTGCAATAGTCATGAAGGAAGGGAATATGCTGCAATGTGCCATATGAAGCATGCCCCAAAATCTTGTGCCAGTTCTCTAAGTTGGTTCTGCACATGCTGCTCATTTCTTTATTGTCTGAGTTATCACTAAGAACATACAGTTTTCCTTTCAGGTGACCATGCCCTACTATCTTGCCAGTTTGTTTATGTTGTAGAACACATTTCTCTGAGTCAAATCTGCAATCCAAATCTGAATTTATGCAGGCTTGTGTGACAGACAACAGATTGTACTTAAAGGCAGGTACATGCAGCACTCCATACAAGGTCAAATCATCTGAAATCCTCACATTTCCTATTGTTGTCACTGTCTTTGTAGTTCCATCTGGTAAATAAACTGTGACTGGCTGTTGAAGCTCCATTTGATCACTCATCATTTCCTTGCTTGTGCACATGTGTCTACTGGCACCTGTGTCAATAACCCAACTTTCTCCTTTCAAAGTATCATAAGAGGCTAGTGCAAAGTGCATATCCTGGTATCCTTCATTGTCAGCAAAGTTGACATATTGTTCATCCTCCTGCTTCTTATTTTTCAAGCCTTCTTCTCTATTAGAATTTCCCAAGATTCGAGCCACTTCTTGTGCCAAAACTGTTATATCATGCATTGATCTTTGTGGCTTATCCCTTTCACTGGTATCTGCCATGTTGGCCATGTTTCTTCCCTTTTTCGCTTGCATTTCTTTAAACCAATCTGGATATCTATGTAACTTGAAGCAGTTTGCTTTGTTATGTCCATTCCAACCACAATTTTCACATA